AACGATTATGGTAAAACCGGTCACTCAAAGGTTTCTACTTTTTTGAGGCACTTTTTGATCATTTTGAAGCGCAATTTTTTTTAGGGCTTCAATATAAAACCATATCACAGACACTGATAACACATAGGGCCCTGCATGATCTCAGATTTAACATTGTTAAACAATCCCTTTAAAGAGAAAGATGAGTTCTGGGAAGAAGTAAAAAAATTGTTTGTGAGCTTTATCATTGTTATTATGCAAGTGTGGAAGAACTCAGATAAAAATGTTCCCCGAAGAACATGGCTCTTCAAATGCCTTAATATTCTAAATATGGCATGTACATACATGTACAATGTACATGTACACTTAAAATCAGGACCGATTTTTATGCCACTTGTTCGTATCAAAAAGACATTCCTAAAAATAGAAACATTAAAAAAACATAAAGAGAAATATATGCATGTACATACATATGTAGGCTAAACACTGTCCCTGGCAACAGAAATGATAGAATCCCAAACTTGTTTATAAAGTTCCCTTTAACATTTATTTCTTTACATATATGTGCTTCCAGCAGCAGAAGAAAAAAAATATTGATGAAAACATTTTCCGCTCGCATGACTTGTTATGGGGAGTGTCTAGTGTCTACAGAGTTGTTTTGTGCACCTTCATGAATTGTATTGCATGTAGGACTGAGCAGGGTTTTTCTTTCTCATCAACCTCCCGTGCATTGTACTATTGTATATTGGATGAGGTAGTCCGAACAATGCTTGACTCTCCTCCTACACAAGACTACAAAATTGGCAACCAATGAATAGGAAAATTCCCTTCCGATTCTCTGCGGTAGAAACTCAACAACATGCTTACATCATGCCCCAGCAGTTGTGCAAATGACATCTTTGTGCACCACCCTCATACATTATCATCCAGCTACTCTCGTACTCTCGGTCCTTTTCTAAACTCAGTGGAAGAGGCCTCAATAGGCTGTATGGGAAACCGATGACCCCCTGAGGTCAAGGTTCATACGGGGTCATCTCTGGCAGCCCCTGAGGGTGTTTCCTTACCCAGCTGATGTTTTAGAAAGATGAGCAGTACATTGTACGTGTAGGCTACATTGCCTGCTGGCAGAGTGCTACTAGATTGGGGGAACTGTAGCCTATAATTGTAGGCTTCATAAAATGGAGATCAGTTTTCATGTATTGCAATAAGTACAGTAACATTTGTCATTAATGTATGTTGTCCCATGGGATAGTGTGCTACTCAATGTCTGATAACAATTGTTAGGTTGTCAGTTTATTCTTAAACTTTTCATATTAGAATTTAAACCAGAATACATAATCTCAAACTTATATAATAATTAACCATACATGTACATGCAATCCCCAACCCACACATGTATCTTAGATAAAATAAAATCCAGAGAAAAGTTATCATTGAATACATGTACATGCATTACAAAATAATCAAATATCTCACTATAAAAATGCAATTTTGTTTTCTTTGAAAGCAGATAGAAAGGAAGATGTGAAAGGGGTGGGAGTGGTTTTGGTTCAAGTTTCAAGAAGAATACAAATATGTGTAGATCTATACAAACCTGTACATGTACATGTACAGTGTATAGTTACATGTACATGTACATGTACATGTATGAAATGCAGACTCACTTTCTGTGAAATGCAATTAATCAACTTAAACATTAAAGTTTTTAAACTGAGTTCAATGTATCAGCTAAACCTGATCCACTTTTACAATTTTTTGTTAAATGCACACAGTCACAAGTTCACAGTGCATGTACTGTACATGTACATTGTAGGCTATGCAGTACCGGTATGCACTGTAATTAAACGCATGTGAATCCATTACCTTTAAAATTTTAAATGTGTCTTTTACATAGGATGAACATTTATTCATTTGTGCACCTGACAAATTTTGTAAATAACGCAAATGTCGCAAATGCCAAAATCACATAAAACATTAAATGCAATAATGGCATGCATTGCATGGACAATAAAGATGGTAGGATCTAAATATACATGTACATGTACTAGGTCACGTATGCACTGCAGAATCAAGATCTATATAAATAGACATGTAACATACTACGTGTACATGTTCTTTTGTAAATAACATTTTTGAACAGAATACAGTACTACTACTTGACACAACACACAAGTGTGCATTCCATTTGCATTGCGTCATACAAGTCCATGTACCTTGAACTACCTTCAGACGTCAAACCAATTACCTTGTAACAATTTGAAAGAAAACAATAATAAAACCAAGGCGATCCCCGTGCCTTGCACATCAATGGTTTGATAAATGTGTTTTTATGACTCTTTGTGACTTTGTGTTCAATATACATAATCAGGAGCAGTGAGCAAGCTGTAGCTCTGGAACGTAAACAATTAATAGATACATTTTATGTACAACAATGTACATTGTATATTACAGGGACCATGGCTACATGTACATATTCTTTATGTACATGTATTACTTCTTTATCTGTTATTCCTAATGATATACAGTATGTCACATAATGTTAGTGATTCAAACTTGTTTGAACGTCTTTCCTTATTGGCTTTTTGCTATCAAATTTTAATAGTTATAATATTTTTTTATTTTATTCAGGAACCTCCACGTACATGTATAATAAACAAGCTTTGTTTTTTAATACATGTAGGTTCTCTATATTTTGCATTATTATTTCTCTATGATACATGTCTATCACTGTTTTAGTATGCATTCTCTTAGTAACTCTTATGGACAATCGTTTTATGTAGAATGTGACACAATAAAACAAACAAACAACAATTATGAAAGGTACCATTTACACAGTATGCAACTGACCTGTAGATGTACATGTACATGTATTAAACTTGCAATCTACTTTGTCATGCTACATGCTACATGTACATACATGTAGGTTTTTCTACATGTATGTACATGTATGTGGTTAAGTGCCCATTGGGGAATTTCAACAAACAAAGTCTGTTTTTGATACAAACTTACTAGTAGGCAAACTAACCACAACTTCAACTTTTCAAAACAGGAAGTGGGGCATAATTGCTGATAAAAAGGAAATTACAATACAACTGATGGAATAGTCAAAAATCTGGGCGATTTATATTTTTAACAATCTCCACCTACGTAAAGCAATCTATTTTGCAATTTTTGCAAACTAGCCCAAGATGTCTTGGGAAGATTTCCCGAGCAAATAGCCTGCTATTTGCAGCTTCATCTGCCAAATAGCCTGCTATTTTGTGATCGGACTAAATTTCCCAGATCGGAAATAGTCTTAGAGGGATATTTGGTAAACTAGAGCTGATGAAGACAGGCCTATATTGTATACACAGATTTACAAATCCTATTAAAGGATGGTAATATTTTGCAATGGCCTCATGAGTCAGAACTACCAACCTTGACTACATAATCTACAGTAGTGTATACTACATGTACATCTAATACCAGCAAACTCTAAATTATCTTTTTTAAATTACCTTTATACGCACCATAATCATCTCATACAATGACCTTTGATCATCTGGGTTTATTGTTGATGGGTTCATAAAACATGTCTTTAAGCCTGTATAAATCCTAGATCCATTTAATGGGCAGTGTGGAGGCTAATTAACATGAAAATGTAAGTTCAAGGATCTTGATACAGTGTGATTTCTACACATTGTACATGTATGAAGGGATATTGATCCAACATTGTCAACAGAATTGTGAGTCATAAAGTTTCTATCATGTCTCGAGAAGGTTGTACATTGTGTGGTTCTAGCCTAATCAGGCTATATGGAGGGTTGGAGGGGGAAAAATGAGCATCAAACAAGCCTCTATGAATAGAAGTAATTATCACAACTACATGTACATGTACCTGCACATGTACATGCAGATCTTATACATGTGTACATGCAGCACTTATGTACAAAGTTCATTTTATTGTACAAAGTACATGTAGGTTTTGCTAAGCTCCGAAGACTAATGCACCGTACAATATGGTCACTGGGATCCTGGGGCCAAAAGGAGGTTGCAGCAATACAAACAAATGAACATAAATGAACATACTTGCTCTTTTAATGTAAATTTTGTTGGTCAAGTCAAGGTCATTTATAATCTAGTTATTTTTTTGTTAGTGTATGCGGTTGAAGACCAAATCAATGAATACATGAACATGTCTGATCTAGTTTTGGACAATCAGCATTGAAGGTCAATAGACCTAGAGTTGAGATGATTACAAGTCAGTCTAGTCGGGAAAAGAAAAAATTGTTTTTAAAACACGTTTATTATTAAATTTCTAACCTTATCTGTTTCATCATTTGCAACTCAGATCAATGGAGTGAATACAGCTATGCATGTACTGTCACAAGAAATGGATTCTTGACCGATAAATCCTGGAAACAAGCCCTTTATTTTATTAATTGTGATTTAAAAAAAGCAAGTGTTCTTTTGGGAAATCCAATTTCAACTCATTTCCTAATCATAAATGAAAATTAATGATCGCATAGTCTCTATTTCTCAAACCATTTTACCTTTTCTCTCACCGACTCTCGGACTCGTCTCAGCTCAGCCCATCACCCTCTGTCTTTTGGCTTTGTCTCTTTTTAATTTTTAGTAAAAACTGTCACATTGTTAAATCACAAAATGATCTGACTCCAACTTCCAAGACTCTACTTTTCATTTCCTACTTCAATCTCAGTCTTTCATAAAGATTTATTGATTCTGTTAAAATTTGTGTGCACGGTTTGTAAGTTTGTATACTTTGTAAAAAATATACAAATGAATTGATGTAATTTGAATAAAATTGTGAATGGGATCAATTAATAATTCATTCATTCATTCATTCATTCATTCATTCATTCATTTATTCATTAATTCATTCATTTATTCATTCATTCATTCATTCTTTTTAAGATAGTTAATTCAACAATGATTCAAGGAATAAAAGGGGTAAAATCACAAAAACTAACACAAAAAACAGAGCTAGGACCAATATGAATAATAAGAGATAATTATCTTACCTTAACTTCGAATGTCTTGTCTGTTCCGTCCAAAAAGATGACTCGACAGACGAGGACATTCTTGTTACGAGAGGGCACATGAACCTCAGTTCCCCGCCCAGACTTTCCCGGTCTGTCGTGTTTGCGATTACGTCGCGATAAGCGAGTGGACAGATAACGCCACATTTTGACACCGAATTATTATCAGAATACCACGTATTCGGAAAACATAGAATTTATGAAGTTTACAATATCTTCTGATCGGTGTAATCACTCACGATAATCCAGGGAAAAGTTGTGAATTCGTGCTTTTTAGGCCAATCCCTTACGCCCCTCTTACGCGATTGTGGTAGTTGACATTCCTATTAAATTATTACCGTACTGCGCATGCCCACTTTGTTTGGAAGCATAGAATAGTTTCCCAGGCTTTTTATTGAGCTTGTATTATTTACTCCTACTTACGTTGTAAGCCTTTTTTCGGACTCGCACATCATATGCATATGTAAATCTCCTATAATTATGCTTAGGAAACGGTAGCAAACACTTTCAAAAATCAAATCAATGGCGTATAGGCCTACGTGTACAGATTGGCCTAATACGGAAACACCTTGTGTTTTTGAACGTTTTAGAAATGAGCATATTTATCATTATTGTCCTTTTCCTCGATCTCCTCCTCTTTTTCTTCTTCTTGATCTTCTTCTTCTTCTTCTTCTTCTTTTTTGGATATTAATCTTATCTTCTTATTCTTCTTGTACTTAATATCATTTCTATCATTATCATTTTAATGTTGTTATAATTATTATCATCATTATTATCATCAATAATTTGTTCTTATCTGTCTGTAAATAATATAATTTTAACTTATTAATTTTGTACATGTATAGGCCTATGTCAGGGACCCCACTGGAAATAAGCTCTTGAGCTTTTGTGGGTTATCCTGTTCAAGCTGACTTAATTTTTATCTGTTATTCTTTTATACATGTAATAATTGTATATAATTAGAGACTTGGTGAATAAAATCAATCAATCAATTAACCAACCTTCATTGCAGTTGGACAAAGCTTTTGGAATGACAAAAGTGATTTTTCCAAAGTCTTTGCGATCGTTTTTTAAGCCAATTATATTCAATCAAAAAGTTGCAGGACCTTCTAGTTATTATTTAAGAACCCGCCTATTTTCAAAGGGGCTCATGAAGCAGGGCCCCAAAAAGCAGGGATCGGGGGCTCGCTGAGCCCCCCCCCGGCACATTTATGATAAAGAGAAATAGAAAGAAAAAAAGAAAGACGGTGAAATTAATCGTTAAATTATAAAAAATCCTACTTTTAATGTTGATTCCTGGAAACGGAAAAACTTACAGTGAAACAGATATCAAAGGAATGGAAGGAAGAGGCCGTATGCATAGTTTGCTTCTTTCACACTATGGTATCAAATATGTTCATCTGACCGTAATTAAATGCCTGAAACGCTGAGCTTTGGGGGGGGGGGGTCTGCCTCTTAGACCCCATCCAATGATTTTTGCTATACCTGACCGTAGAAACTTTAGGCCCCCCCCCCCTCCACTTTGAAAAAACGTTCTGCAGGGCATGTGAAGGCAACTGGCCTGCATCCTGATATAATTATAGAGGACCTCTGCATCGGATGCCACAATAATCACCCTTTTCTGAATTATCCCGACTTATTCTTTTATAAATTCATTCCTTTCTCCTTTTCCTCCTTTCTTTCAACTTCCTAATTGTACTGATGAGCCTGCTATTATTGTTTGTTATAGTGTTAATTGTTTATAAATCATTGATTGGTCAAGCTCCTATAGTTACATAACAGAATTACTTCAACTCAAAGTCCAGTCACACATTCGTAGCCTGCGAAGTTCCACAGATAAATTATTGTTCCAGATTCCCCGATGGCAAAACTGAAGTAACTCTCGGGGACCGTGCTTTTGCTATTGCTGCCCCCAAACTTTGGAATAGCTTGCCAATAGAAATACGGAGCACTCCATCTCTCAATGTCTTCAAATCCAAATTAAAAACATATTTGTTCAAGTTGAGAGATCTTATTTTGTAGAATTTTATAGTAAAAAGGAGCTCTTATAACCAGCGCAGCTGAATATATTTTGTATAAAAGCTGCGCTATATAAATTTATTATTATTATTATTATTATTATTATTATTATTATTATTATTATTATTATTATGCTGTTTTCTTTGTTGTTTGTAAAGCATAGACATGAAAATTTGAATTACATTTTAGGAATGAAATACTGTAATTTTAGATTTTATTTTATTTAAATTTTTGCAAACTTTCTTTCCAAACAAACTCCTGGGAAATACTCTACACATAATTCCAAGATGTCAGCGCCCATGAACATTTTATGTAACTCCAGGCTGAGTCAGAATCTGTGAATTTGAGAAGAAATTAAGTAAGTTTGTGTAATAATGATGTGACCAAATGAAATTATTGATTGTTATTCTTTTCTGATCTTGAATACGAAGATGTGTTGTGTTCAGGCTACCTTGCCTGGCCTGTTTGCTGACTACCGGCCGCTGTGTCAGATCAGCAGATCAGCTCAAGTGTGTGATGGCTCGCGCGGGAGTAGGGGCGGCGGCGACATGTTCGGTGCAGCACCGGGTACAGGGTGGGCCCCAAGCCCAGCAACCCAAGTGCTGGGCGCGACACGGCCTGCAACGTGTGTAACGACGACCATAACGAACTTGAACAACAGCAACAACAACTACATGTAAGCTTGAATCAAAATATGAACGAGCAACTTTAGAATTAAAGTAGTCTACACCCCACCACAAAAATTGACCAGACATTCATTTAATTTTCACGTAGGGGCACTGGTCCGAGAATAACTTAAGGATCGTCCGCAAAAGACTCCGCATAAATCACAACCAACTTGAACAACAGCAACAACGGCGCTAGTTCAGAAGTCCATCCAAAATTTGCCCCGTAACTCCGGCGTGGAGATACCCTAGTCCCTACTAAAACATACCAAAAATGGAGTAAATGTTCATCAAATGTCCAAATAAAGATCATGATTTAAAAGTTGTTATGTTTGTTACCTGTTTCGTGTCAATTTTCTTGTTTTTTTTTTAGTATTTTTCGGAAAATCATTGATATTAGTATAAACTTTTTTTACAGGTTTCACGGCGAACCGCTGTTAGGAGTTATTTTCATGGTCCATATTAATATTTTATTGTGTTATCTTTATCTTTACAGCAAACTTTATTGGCCCCCCCCCCCCCAAACTGGATTAGACATGTCAAGATTGGCCAACTTTTTACGCAGGCCTCGCAACTTTGCCGCTGTTGCCGTGGCCAGCGCGGGAGTTGCCTTCAGCTACAAAGCAGCGCCCCACCTCTTCCCAAACCACATCTACAGACCAATCTTTGAAGCATACAAGGCGGGAAAGCCGTACAAAGTGACGGTGGAGCAAGAGCAAGAATTTGAGCAAGCCTGCAATGACCTCAACATCGATGCCTCCAAATACAGGACGTTTGTCACAAGCCGCTGGGAGGTCAAGTCAGTTGGCCTTCCGTGGTTTCCAGCGGGGTGCCATACAGGGATCCCCGCCTCGATGGTAGCGGAGCCGGAATTGACCAACCTGAGATTCTCCGGACCGATCAAGGCTAACCTTGATACAAGAGAGGGAATGTGGTTGAAGGACTCTCTGAAGCTGAGTCCCGCGGCCCGTAGGTTTGCGATGGCTCAGCAGATAGCTCTAAGCGACAGCAACCTATCTTTCTATCCCATCGTCTTAGCGCCTATCACCACGCTGACTGGCTTCGCAACGACCTTCATCATGCATACCATCGCTCCTATCGCGCCGATCTTCGTCACAGGTCTCGGCATCGGAACCTGCTTCTACTTTGCCTACAGCTTCCTCTTGGGGTCTGTCAATGAAAGGATCGACCTGAAGGTCAACCAAAGACTTGCTGCCATCAGCGACGAGTACACCATGGGTGGACTAGAATTCTATGAGAAACTCTTGCAGAAGAACAGGGGACTACGATCACTTCTTGGAAAAAAAGGGGAGCACCTTTACACCTATTATGGCAACGAGACATCAGGACTGGTCTACTCGACTGGAGCAACCAATATTCAGAAGAGAGATGTTTTGAAGAAGATGGTGGAGGCCGCTGAGATGGAAAGAAGAGCCAAGGAGAAGGCAGATGCTGTGTCATGATATTTAAGTGTAAAAATTTGAGATATTATTCTTATTTTAATGGTCAACTCCACAGTATTTGGTAATTTAGTGCCCCATATATTACCAAGTATTCTGGAATTATGATATTAAAATGTTTATTACAATGATCATGTTCTAATTGAAGATAAACATGATCTGATCAAGTAACGGTAGAGCTATCAGCTTAAAGGGAGAAGGTCATCAGTTTCCATGCGCAGAAGTTCATAATTTGCTGACACCAGACTTGGTGGAGATACCATTAATGGATGTACAAAATATCTTGTTTACTGTCATTTATCAGCAGTATTAATCAATGTGGTCATGATTTATTGTACTCTAAGTTGACAACTGATCGGTGACATACTACATTTCCTCTTCACTGTGTATCAGTAATGTTTAATTTTACAATTATTATTGTATGTATCAAAATTGCAAATCAGGTTTCCTAGTAGAGCAAATCAGGCTGCCATTTTGTTACAGGAGAATAAAATATACACATTTTTCATACTCAATTGTTTGTTCTAAAAATTATCTTGAATCAGTTTTTTATATTATTATGTGCATTTTCATTCATTGATTTTGGATTTTCAACAAGAAAATTGGCTATCATAATTGATCAATGATATTCATAAGTGTATATTTTTTCCCAACTTTTGCAATACCACAGTATAGCAACATATTTTTGAAATAAATAATGGAGAAAGAAACAAAAGAAAATCATATTCCTTTTTGTCGCTATGAAGATTAGAAAATGAATTAGTATAAATAGTCTCATCAAATATGTTCATTTGAATTTGTCAGTCTTTCCATTTTATATTCAATGATTCTTTACAGAGAAAGTGTCTCTGTCTAAAAACAATCTTATTTTGTGTATTAATATCATTCAGAATAGATTCAGATAAGCTTTATTGATCCATGTGAAAAACAGAGGAAATGATAAATTAAATACATGTATGTTCTGAAATCCAAATTAGTGCACAAATCTGAATGTTATCACTCCCTGTGTAGAGCTTTCAGACATGATATCATGACTTTTCAACTGCTGAGAGCCACAGGGGTGTAAGCCCACCTACATTAAAGGTAAAGACCAGTTCTGGTCATGTGATTGCATTGTGTAAGAAACATTGTGGAATCGATCGGAAAAGGTTGATCATCTAGCATATAAGTATTTGTGTGTACTGCAAGATTCTGGAATCATCAAAATGATAAGAAATTTGACCCAGTCTTGGTAAAGTTACAAGCACTGTACACAGAAAGATGTATATGGGACCATGCGATATCTATCCAGTCCGAATAGATATAATAATTTACCAAATATATGAATTAGTAGGCAGTTTCCCGGGCAAATTTGTATCATCACGTATTAGTCAAAACATATTCTTTCACATGATTGGTAATAAGAGCTTCAATTTCATTTTTTAAGAGGGGGGTGTCTCCGGAACTGGTCTAATATTTTAAGATAGATTTAAGATCCTTCTGGCCCTCTACAGACAATATACGTGACCAAAAATAAGTAGGTCTGTATCAAGACATTATAAGAGAGAAGTAGCAGACATCACATTGGACTTTCCATTTTGTACAAAGAATGATTTATGGCAAAAAGTGGAAGATGTTTTCTCTATGCAGTATTAATTCTTTTGTATGCTTGCTTTATCAAATAAAAACAAAGAAATTTCATCTGTGAATTGCTGTGTCATATTCAGTGTATATAGGGGGTAAGTGGAACAGAGAAAAGAATGATTTTGTTATGAAGGAGAGGAAGAGAGAGAGAGAGAGATAGATAGATATGGAGATGGACACATACAGAAAGAGAGATGGAGACAGATGCATACAGGAATAGAAAGAGAGAAGAGATGGAGACAGACGCATACAGAAAAATCGAGAGACAGACAAATACAATGAGAGAGAGAAGGAGATACCTGACAGCGTCCAGAGAAGGAATAAAATGATCTCAATAAACAAAGGCTTGAAAATACAAGATATAGAAGAAATAGAGAGCAAAGAAGGAAAAAAGAAAAGTTTGAGAACACAAGCTCTCACATGGAATATAAAGAGGGAAAATACAGGGAGAAGGGGAGGGGAAAAAGTGACTGACACATGGAGAATATTCCTCATCTGGGAAAATGAAACTGTTCACTCCAATCAAACAAAACATCCAAAGGCAAGAAGATTTTCTTAGAAAGCAATTTGTTTGCATTTATTACATCCATCGAGATCAAAGCATGTAAATTCACAGACATTGGGATGGACATCCTCGGTAATTACGTCTCCATGATGATGATATTACGTCGTAAATACGTCGTAATATCTTTTCACTTGATAAACACAACCATAGGAAAAAGAAAACTGAACAAAATACAGGTAAACAACTTCTACATGGCATACATGTACATTAATAAGATCGATAAATAATTTTCTAAATTTACAAATAATGATCTATGATATAATCATACACATTTATACAACATGCTCTCTGTATGTGAGTTCAGGACGCTATGTCGGGTATGTACACGATGCAATGATGGTCGAGAACTTAACTGTCACATGCTCAATATGTGAACAACCCTCTGCATCCAACTACTACTTTACTGTTAAAAATTGAACTGTGTTACAAACTTCCTTTCACACGTTATGCAGTTAACTGCCTTAAAACATGCCATGGCAAAATAAAGTGCTTCACATTTATGTACTTTATACTTGTAACACACAGATACATGTACACATAAGTAAGTCACTCTTAACAGGCCTTTCTTTTTACCCCTGCACTGTACTAGCCTTCCATTTACACAAAAATGCTTTTGTTGTTTTGCCACAGCAGTTCTTTCTTTTAGGTGTTTTACTGCGTTATGTGTTAACAATGCTTAAATTGTTATCTTTTCCACAAGAGAGAGCAAAAATCGATACATTTACATTTGATTCTTCATGATTTCAGTCCTTAGGCTTGTATCATTAAAATTCCATTCCTCGCTCTATAAAATACTGGCATTTTATAAAAATCCACTGGTAAAAAATAATCACTAGTTTCTGCTTAGTTCTGATAAAATTTTGCAAACATGAAAGACGATTTCTTCTCAGTTAATACAGTTAATTTGCTAATTATGATGTGTTGATTATGCATTAAAGCGATACTGAACTGATCGAGTTTCTGCCCTAGCGTACTGTTTATTGCACGGCGCCATCTCATGGTCAACTTGCCAACAGTGCGTAACCCAGTACTGAATTTCCACTTGGAGGCGGAGGACTCACGCGAGAACCAACAGCGCAGCTAGGGAACCAGCAAGTTACGAGACCATACTGCTATAGCTGACCTGAGATGGCGCTAAAGGGAATTTTGCGGTAGTGCTTCTAGTACAGTATGGCTTTAAGATGTATGGATCTCTAATCCATGCTTGAAAATAGCTAGCTATTCAGTGAAATATGAAATTACAACAAAGGTACAATGAACTAATTATCTCTTTTGATACTTACAACACTACATAACATATGTATAGTAATAGTGCCTTTGGCATTAACAGGGTTTATAAACTGTTACAATGTTGATTTCCTAGATTTTAGAAATAAAAAAGGACTTGATACGATCAATATCTTGCCCAAGATTAATCAAATGAACACATTAACAGAGACAAAGGGATGAATTCTATATACCTCAATGATTGGAAAATGGAATATAATGACAAAGATACAAAGTAAATAGCCTATGTGAGTATGGTGACAATACTGAACCAAAAACAAATAACAAATGAAAACAATTGAAAGGAAGCAAAAAGGATATAATACAGTATCACATTAACTGATCCTCAGCTGAGAGAAAAACTAATTCTCACAGTGATTTGTATGTAATTTTTGTATGTAATTGAGTACGAAAAACAAATTAATCTACATGTACATGAACTGATTCAAGAGTTTAACAAGATCTTACCATCAAACAAATAAAAAAGGATACAAAACAATTGGTCATCACTGCATTTACAAATCACGATTCTACATCAAATGAAAGCATATAACAAAACAAAATCCATTTGACACTGCATGTCAAATTTACTCATAATAGCTAAACTCTGACTTTCTTTAACAATACATATACCACAATCCAACGGATCTTAGATTTTTAGTAATCTGAATATACAAATATTTCCAAATAGACGACCGATTGATTCAATGTACAATGCTCAATAGACAATGACGGAAATAGACAATGTCAAGATAAAAATGTATGTACAAGTCTAATCTTCTTGAAATACCTATGTACAGTTTGAACAGATTAATAAGACTTTAATCTTTAGTGGAAAAATACATTTTGAAATAGAGCACTTGTAAGCATTTCATGGGCAATACTTTGTGAATAATATCTATACATATCTACAAAATGATCCTCTCCTTAAAAATGGAGGGAACAAAAGAGATCCTTAAGGTGTATGATGATACAAATTGGCAACACTACCAAACAGGGGCAAAACTGCAAAAGGGAAAAACATCATCTATTGAGAGGCAGAAAGGCGTAAATTATTTTTTAGATTATATGAGTTACTGTCCTTCCGGTTCCAAACAGATGAAATGATGTATTTGCACAGTCATACATATTACATCTACATATATGGATTAAGTAGATTCTTTTGTGAAAAAAATAGGAACACTGGCGTTACTATAAACATTTTGGGAAATACAATTCAAGGTACATTACATTCAACAAAGGAAGCTCACACAGTGCGTGATTTTAGGCTTTTTAAACACGAGTTGTACTTGATTAATCATATAATAACACTAAAAGACCACATCATTACACACATAGAAGGAACACGATTCCAGAATTAATTGAATCGATTCACTCTCTGAAGGGGAATCCGAAGGTATCAGAATAAATGACTAGACACCATTTCTGAACAATTAAACTTCCTTATCAGAAATATAAGATTACCGTTTGATTATAACTAAATATTCATTAGTTGAAAAGGTATCTATGAAATATATCTTACATCACAGCTGGCATACTTAACAAGTATCAACTAAATTATTCAAACCTTTACCAAGTTTTGCATTTATTTAAGTATGTGAAAATTAAATTTTTCCAAATTTATATTTCTTGAGAATGAGAAATATCAAAGCTTACATCTAAAAGTATTCAACCAGTCCACCTTTCATCCTTGAGTTACAAAAAACATCAGATTTACAAGGGGCATGAATAATGTTAACTGTATCTTAGTGGTACACAGATAGTGGTTTGCAGATAGCCTTAACTGTTAGAATGTTATGGTTATTCCAATGAACTGTCAAATTATGATCCTAACTTTTCAAATACTAGATGCACATCACATACCAAAAGGTACCCTCTTTTAGTAAAATAAAGACATAATTTGTAGAGCACACTTAAATACTGACTAAAATAAACCCAGGAACCATACTAAGGTAGTGTTAATATCCATATAAAGCACACACCATATATGTTGATGATGTAAAAATATCATTTTTTACTATGAAAAGCTCTAGTGATAAAATGTATTCTTTTTGGGGGGGTTGCTGAAAAATGCTACAAAATGTGAAAAGGCAAGATTTACAAGGTATCCTGGTTTTGATAATAAGGGGTAAAAGGAGTATCAAAATGTGTAGTAGAAATGTAGGAATGTTAAGAGACCACAGCTGTTGAGTGGAACATATGAACAGTTGTAAATATAGTCAAACCTGCTTTAGTGACCACCTGTCTACAAAGACCACATTTTGTTATTTCCCTTGAAAATGGTTTCTCATTGAATCATGTACTAAAGGAACCTGTACATATAGACCACCTACCTATAAAGACCACTTTTCTTGTCTCCCTTGGGTGGTCTTTATAGACAGGTTTTACTGTACCATATTGTGTGATCGAAGAGCAGACAGACGTTAATCGACATGACTGGAGAGTTAGCGTCGTTCTTTTTTCAAAAACTTTGCTTTTGGGGAAAGTATAAGTATGCATCAGATGGTATAATGTCTAGGCCAATTCAAACAGTAGGATGTACATCTACAGGACACGTATAGAGTACATTTGATGCATATATCTGACAGATTATTTTTTCTGAGGAATGATACGCTTAATACAAAAACATGTGATATCTGTGTACTGTCTCGTTAGGGACCGTTCAATATTCATATGTCACTTCTAAACTCTGTTTACAAACAAGAGAAATGGGTACAAGTACTCACATAACAACTTTAAAGGGGGGGGGGGATGGGGGGAGAGCAAACATGGGATGATAAATTTTGGTCCAAGCGAAATCCAAAGTAAACTCATCCAAGCTATTGGAATTATCTTTGCCTTGCATACAATCAAGTAAAGAGCTATTGATAAGTCCCCATTTACAACACCTCAACGTTCCAGCACATGATGCATTGCAGATGCCACTGGAGCATGGCAATCACTGTTCCTCTACACAACAAAATAAAACAGTTTTTAAGACTATACATGGAGGGACGTCAGGCAATAAAGCCGTAAACATGGCTAGCCATTATACAGACTTTTGATAAAGTGAGAAGAAAAATAAGTATGTGCTGTAGTATACCTAACAACAATGTTGTATCGGTACCTATGTTTTTCTACTTAAGTACAAGCAATTAATCATGAAATGATCTTAGCTTTAGAATTTGATAAAACAATCTACAAAAATATGTCTTTGTTCTATATCAAACGTACATTTACATACATGATTTCTTTCAAAAAGTGTACAAGAAACAAAGCACTATAAATGCAACGATGCTCCTTTTCTATGGAATACAAATGCTGATTGGAAGATCTCACATCAATAAATGTGACCTTGTAAAAGAAAAGCTCTCCAATTTTGGGAGAAGCGAGAGATAAATAAATGAATACATAACAAATTTATGCCAGCGAACTCATACACAATATAATACACAAGAACCAAAATGTACAAATCATCATTTAGATTATTTATTCCTTGTATCTTTGGCTACGAGTTGCAGAAAGAGAGAGAGAGAGAGAGAGAGAGAGAAGAGAGAGAGAGAGAGAGAGAGAGAGAGAGAGAGAGAGAGAGAGAGAGAGAGGGAGATGGAGAGAACGAGAAACTGAAGGAAAATGGGAGGTAAATGCAAAGGAATATTAAAGAACTTTGAGGTAATACAAAAAAGGTCAAAAACAGATTGAGATGAAAGGGGATGGAGAGAGAGGGAGGGAGAGAGAGAGAGAGAGAGGGGGGATCAAATATTGACTACTTACATTAAAAACAGATAAAATGTAAAGAGAGGGAGGGGGATTGAGTAAGAGTGACAAGAACGATAGCCCTTTTATAAATAATTCACAGGTTAAATGATAGACACATTAGAATTTCATTCTAACCGATTGACACAAAATCATGGACACATAAACTATAGCACAGAGGTGTACTAGTGTTCTTTAAAGGGAGAGATGGAGAGTTTGAAAATTTATTTCACGAACACTTGCCTCTCTCTACCCATGTTTAGTAAATGATTAACAGTGATAAAAGCTTTCTGAAGTAAGATAGTGAGATAATTCTGGAGTGCATAGAGCCCATATTCAAGTAGATAAATGCAATGTGATTCTAGCTGTAACAATAATTCAATAAAATACACTGTATTTCAAAAATACTATATTACAAAAGGGGAAAATTTGCAAGAAAATAAAAAACATAGATTGTATGTAAACAAACATGATTGGTATTATAATTCATGGCCGGTGTCATTTCACTTCACAGAAATATAGCAGAGTTATGATTTTTGTCACAATTGATCAAAAAAGCAATTTAAGTTTTTTTCTTCATACTTAATCTAATGAGGCCTGCTATTCTTACAGCATTTTTATACCCCTGCATAAAAACGTGTTAGTTCTAAAACATCATTAGTTCAATGAACTGTCAAATTAGTTCGGTAAGAATAGTAAAATTTGAACCAATCACATAAAATGTATCATTTGTTGAGAGCCTAAAAGGCATTATCTTGTATAATTTAACACAGAGTTAAATTTCCTTCTGACTCTAATGAGATGGCTTCTTGTTGTAAAAAATTTCTCATCGGAGAGTTCACTTAGTCAGCTCTCTGTCTTTGCCTACAAATGGGCTCAGGCGACCCCGGTCCGAAACTGAATTATGTTAAAGGTTGGCCCCCAGACGTAAATAATCATATCTGATTGATGCATGTCTGTAAAAACCCAATTCCATTATTCAACACAGTGTTAATGCCCTTCTGGCTCTTAAAGGCCCACTACACTACTTGTAGCTACTTGCGCCCTCTATATAACAAACCATGCCTAATCGGTGACCATTGGTCCCCCATGATCCTCTTTTTCTTATGTTAACTGAGAGCTGAGTTGATGAGATAACCACCTGTCCAGTGACCTTGCAGAGCGCTCTAATCCCTCCTTAAACTATGGCAGATAAGCTTTAACAGATAGCATATATTGTCAAAAACTATCCAATTATACAGATTCTTCTGAGATTAGTTATTAGAATTTGATTTAAATAGATTTTGGTTTCAAATAGATAACTTGCAAGTGAAAGATACATGTATGCATGGTGTCAAAAAACATCTTGAAAGAACTGAGCCACTCAATTTATCCTCATTTTTTAATCAATTTTTACTAGGCGTATCAAAAAGCATATGAATTCTCTGGCTTACACTGAAAGCTATGTATACAAAAAAAAAAAATCAACTACATACAAATATTTCATTGAAATGCTTTAATACAGTTTGAAAGCTAATCAAATGTAGATGCCTTAACTAGACTCTCGCTCCAGACAGTAATACGTACATCATATACAGCTAAATACATACAGGGTTTATCACTTTTCCACAAAAATAATGTATCTAATATCAAAACATGAAATCAAAATATACAGCACCAGGCCTTGAGACTCCATACAAATTTTATAAACATCTCAAATCTTTTTGTTTTTAATCTCTCATCTTACAACACAATGTAAACGGCTATCGTCTGCTAGCTAGCTAGGCCAATGCAAAGTTACAGCTTTGATTACGAGGACGAGAACGAGGAGATAATGTTTATAACATTATTCTGTTGTTGTTTTTTGTTGATGTAAAAAGAGCTGGCAATGAGATTACGATACTTGGATGGAAGACAATGGTATATGGAGTTTCCTCACGATCTCTGCTCGTCTATGGGCTTCACGATACAGTCTGCAGGAAAGGATTGACAGGAAAGAAAAGGAAAGAGGGAAAGAAAAGGAGAGAAGGAAATGGAGAGAAGCAGAGAGGAGAGAAAGAAACAAATTTTACTTCAAATTTTCTATTACATGGAGGGAGGGGTAGGGAAGGCTCTAAAGAAATATAATCTTGTGGTAGCCCCAAGGCCACCTCATATCGTACTACCGTCAGGATGATGAAAGAAAATAAATATACATGCGCATGAAGGATGGATTCAGAGTTTTGAAATTGTTAACTGTATCTAAATGACTTCATGAATGGTATTATGAACAGCAATTAATACATTGTATTAGTAGTAGAGTCAATTACAACAAATTCTAACAAAATAATGCCTTGAGATAATGGTCACTAGAGGATATGTCAGATCACCTTTGTTCATTATTCACTCCTATTCTTTACCGGTACTTATTTTCTGTTATATGTTACTATGTATTGATGTTTTCGATGATGTTTATATTGTTCAAGTAGTTTGTATCTTCATATATGTTGCATTTGTTTACAGGGCCCCCTGGAAAACAGTACTTTGATTACTGACGGGGCTACCCTGTTTAAATAAAACAGAATAAATAAATAAATAAAAAAATATATGACTAAATAAAATGACTTACCCATATAGACTCTGATAATGGCCTCGCAAACAAACTTGTACTGAGCAGCGGTCTGTATGAGCATGGGGCGTTGGTCCCTCTCCGTCCGGACGATGTCGAGCGGGTAGACCGGCTCGTTGGCTTCTATCAGGCACATAGCTGTTTCCATGGTAATTAAGACCCCTGTCCTCCCGATGCCAGCACTGTGAGGAAAGAAGATAGGATCATTTCATATATATTTATTGCTTTATAATAATAATAATAATAATTTTGTTTTACCCAGGGAAGCCTCATCAGCTTCAATGCTGTTCTCCCTGAGGGCCCTGTAATTATTATTACCCCAGCAATTGCCAGGTACCCATTTACACCGGGTGGAGACTGGCCAATGTGGATTAATGTCTTGCCAAAGGTCGCTAGTGCTGGCCTGAGATTTGAATCCTCAACCCTTGGATTGAGAGTCAAGTGAACGAACCACTATACCACGACGCCTCCTCTTTCAAAAGGAGAAGTTTTCATGAAAACAGTGACAATACTCTATCAATATTTTGTTGCCTGAATTTTGATTGAATCATAAGATCACTTATGAAAAATAATTTTACTTTACATTGCAACATATTTGAGATGCAGTATTGAATGATACATACCTGCAGTGAACTATGGTTGGTACATCCATTCCCACTCGACACTGCCGTACTCTAAGGACAAAGTCTAAGAAATCTGAGGAATCGTCAGGCACACCATGGTCAGGCCAAGCTACGTACTGCATCTGAAGGACTATCCTCTCTTCCTTCGTCTACAGATAAATACAAAGAAAGGTGAAATTAGTTACTACCATCATCATCATTAGCAGCAGTAACATCATCATCTTTCTTATCACTATTAAAATAATAATAATTATCATTATCATCATCAGCAGCAGCAGTAGCATCACCATCATTATCATCACTATCAAAATCATTATCATCATAAGTCAATGTTATTAGGTTCCCTCAAATGAAATGTTATGGATATGCATGTATATGATAAATAATGTATATGTGACCCCCCCCCCCCTTTATGTCTCATATTTTAAATTGAAGTCCCAGGCGTATGTGTGAGTGTATCTGTGAGGGTGCGTGCGTTTGTGTGTCTGTGTGTAATAATGTATGTATTCGTGTTTGTTTATCTTAAATATTTAAATGTTTTTCACTTTTTCTTCTTTTGGATACCATTCTTGTCTCACTGTATATGTGACTATACAGTCCCCCCTAAGAATATATAACTCACGGCTGTGTTACAGATGATGAAGTCCCTGTAGGCGAAGGAAGGGGTCTCATCACACCGGGTACACCTGACCTCTAGGTCGGGGCCAAACTTGAGCCTATCGTCCAGGTCCGGCCAGTACTTGTGACATTTGACCTACAGAGGAAAGAAGGAGAGGATAGACATGAGAGACTATGCTGTAAACCAGCTAAAAGATCAAATCTGTGGCGAAACCTTAACTTTTACGAGCAAATGAATGGGTAGATGGGGATTAACAATAATAGCTGAGCACAAAATATGCCCCAATCTGTGTGTTGGATGATACAGAAATTCAGAGCCTTCTATGTTTTGTCATTTCATTTTGCTTCGGCAGTTTTCGTTTTCTTTTTCCAACTTTTTTTGCGATATACCACACTATGTGTAAACGATGCAATAAACAATTATTGTGCAAATAATGCACACGCGGCAATGAAGTATTCATGCGCCCCATCAGCAAACAAAGTTAGAAATTTTATTTACATGTATAAAGAATCTGATGTAATAATAATTGACATGCTGATCTAGGATTGGCTAGAGTAATTAAAGGGGAAGTCTACCATGTCTATTCCATCATCAATAACTATAAAGAAAATGAAAGAGAAAGAGACTAAGAAAGGGAGAGAAAAAGGGGATCATGGGGAACCAACGGGTACCAATTAGGCACTGTTCGCTATATAGAGGGCGCCAGTCACTCACCCTTCCTCTCTCCACGTTGGTGGTGAGCATGACGATGAGCGTTGACCTTTGCTCCCAGACCATGTACCAGAAGTCATTGACTGTGTTGGGTAGAGGCCCCTGGGCGGCAACGTACTTGTTGACCAGATCAAAGCCTGGGATGTCCATCTGGGGAGAGAGACGGATAGATAGAAATAAAGAAATTCAGGGGGAAAAGGTGGATGAGAAATATTTGTTTACACTCAAGAATGAGATATATACAATGCTTTAAAGGGTGTTGCATGTATTTGCAGGGTGAAAATCTAAAAACTTGCATTATTTAAAAAAATTGTTATTGAAAACTCTCCTAAAAGTATGGTGGCAAAATATTAATTATTAGCATAATTACAGTCATTTTGAATTTTCAAAATTATTTTTTCAGAATTTTGCAACTGGCATTGTTCTATTCATCGCATTTGTTGGGAACAACATGAGGGATTCAATTTTTATTGATAGAGAGAAAGCCACAGTATTTGGATCTGAAATTATGAATATACTTTCATAAACCCATCTCACTGTTACGTATGCATTTTGAGATAATTTTTTGAGGAATAGTAAATCCCTGATAGGGGCTAAGAACTCATGCACATGTACATGTCTTTTTCAGGTCAGTTGAGGTCATGGCAGGGCAGAGTAGTAAGATGATATCTAAAGATAGGATGTCTGATGATACTCACATTGATGGTATTAGCATTGATGTAATCCCCCGTGTCTGCTTCCCGTAATATGACTCTCGTTGCATCATCTGGAGAGACGGAGAGAGAGAGAGAGAGAGGGGGAGGGGGGAGGGAGAGAGAGAGAAAGAGGGAGGGAGAGAGAGAGGGAGAGGTGGAGAGGGGAGAAGGGAGAGGGGAGAAGGGAGAGGGGAGAGGGGAGAGGGGAGAGGGGAGAGAGAGAGAGAGAGAGGGAGAGAGAGAGAGAGGGGGAGAAAGAGGGGGTGGGAGGGAGAGGGAGGGGGAAGAGGTGAGAGAGAGAGAAAGGGATAGAGAGAGAAAGAGAGAGGGAGAGAGAGAGAGAGAGGGGGAGAGTGAGAGAGAGAAAGGTAGAAAGGTGGAGAGGGGACAGAGGAGAGGGGAAATAGATGGGGTGGGGAGAGGAAGTAAGAAAAAGAGAGAGGTAGGGGTAGGGGAGGGAGAGAGAGAGGGGGAGAAAGAGGGAGGTAAATGGGGAATATATAGAGAGAGACCAAACAAAAATCATAAATAATAATAATAATAATTAACCGTTCTTGTATAGCGCATAACACATAGTATTAAAACATGTCCCTAAGCGCTCTAGAGAAAAACATAACAGAATACAAAGACAAATGTCAATTGATTGGTTGTTGAAGGATTAGTTCCGTTTCATGAGTGAGAATATGCATATACATTCCATGTAAATTCAGGGTGCTTGTATAAAGTAATATTTTGTTTTCAAAAAAATGGAAATATCAATTTCTGTATATGTTCATAGAGAGCAAATGAGTGAGGTCCTCAAATGTTACATGTAAGGCATAGACTTGCTAATTTGCATTTGATTGGTTACAACTTTAAACTTCATAACTTCCTCATTCTATATATCGGATTTTCCCCAAACTCTTTTTTGTTTCTCTAATTTTCCCACTCCTATCAAAACAAATAATATCAGAGTGAACTTCCCCTTTAAAGAACCACTAAAACAAACAAGAGCTATTGGGAAAATTTGTTTTGTTCTTCCCACGAGCATACAATAACATTTGCCAAGTTTAGTCATTGAAATGTGGCTTAAAAAATCTACAGGGCCCTATGCAAACAAAAACATATACCGGTACTTCTCTCTGCAAACATTGGTTTACCCACCAATGGTCTAATTACACAGTACTTAAAGGCATCTTTTAACAATGTTAAATCTGAGATGCACGGCCCTACGTGTTATTAGTTTCTATGATATGGTGTAATATTGAAGCCCTAAAAAAAATGTGCTTCAAAACGATCAAGAAGTGCCTCAAAAAATTAAAAATCTTTGAGTGACTGGTTTTACCATACTTTTTGTCCCCAATAGACTTTAGTGTTATGAAAACCGTTAGGAAAATGCAAAATTTGATTTCGATTTTCCAATCATAAATATCTTGATAATCAGACAGACGATCGGCTTGTAAAAGTCATGGGGTTCCTGGCTGACCTGAAGGTTTATAATTATCATTGAAGCATGAGCTAAATGCAGGATTTTGTTTCAGAATCTGAGACAAAGTTACTGGAATCCCTTTAGATGATGCATGACTTACAAGGCGCTATGTCTCTGTATCTGTTTTTGGCAACATTCTCTGCTAACCTGCAGGCACCCATTGTCATCCCAGGCTTTTTCCTGTAGAGTTGCTGTTGAATTCAAGATAATAAAAATAGGATGCAAACATTATAATAATAATAATAATAATAATAATAAAACAGTACTTATAAAGCGCTTTCCACCAAAGTCTCAAAGGGCTATAACAAACAAAATACAATGACAAACAATTATATATTAAACAAAAAATTATGTAAAAATTACATTGTATAACTTAGCATATCAATTTGAGGATCTCTTTACAATACCTGTAGCATCTACAATGGATATATCACTGAATGGATATTTGATGTGGTCATGGAGGGGGGAGGGGGGGGGGGGCTCTCACAAAATCAAACAGAATTTTAGACTTAAATTCATTTGTTTTATTTAATTGTGTCCATAGCTCTGCTCCACAGTACAATATTACTTTGATAAATCATTACATTCCGTTCAGATCTTTCAGCTCTCAAAACTCCAAATATCTTACTTCTGTTCCTTTGTTTATGATGCAGATGCTTTTATGTGATCTCTTTAATTCTTCATAAGTGCACCTTGCGCATTTGATTTCAAGGGAAATCGGGGCCTTGCAAATCTCATATATTATCATTTTTATTATTATTATTATTAAGTGATGGAAATTACATGGAAATGATAATAACACAGGACTCTGATTTTTAGACAGGTTTTTCACAAGAATTCCAACAATATCTTTTATCATAAACTTACATCAAACTGTGCTATTGCCATGCCGGTATCAAGGCCTTCTTGTAAGAGCATGAAGGACTCAGTGAGGGAATCAATCTCTCCGTTCACTATCCTTGGACTCTCTGGGATGTACTGAAAGACGGGTTCCTCCACCTCCTCACCGACATACACTGCAAGAAATAATAAGAAAAAGAATAATAGCAATATATTTAAAGTCTGTCGAGTGCAAGAAACTCTTTGTTGAATAACGATGATGATAACGATGATTATGACGATGACGACGATGATGATGATGGTGATAATAATAATAATAATACAAATAATAATACAAATTGGGTTGAAAGCTATCATGTAACACCCAACAACCTTGTTATATTTGCACTATCAAGATATCATGAATCTTAAGAAGAAGAAAAAGAGTCTACAATTACACTTTCTATTATCTATTATCTTTGCCTCTTAGAACTTTGAAGTACATAGGTCTAAGAGGCAAAGACGAAGGAAAACAGAAACAATCAGAAAATATCAAAGAGATGAACAAAAAAGTTTGAAAACGTATCATAATTTCACACGGCAAATATGAATACCGTAAATCTCGGTGTATTAGACGCACCCCATTTTTTAATTTTTTTTTTTTTTTTGGGGGGGGGGGGGGGGGGGGGGGAATCTTCTTTCTTTTTTTTTCCTTCTTTTTTTTAAGACTCCGTAGGCAGCAAGCCAGTCCCGTGTTCAAAAACCCATGTGGGGAAGCTCCTTTACTTTACCGCGAGGTGCAGTTGAAGGCGCATATTTGTGCTTGTGAACTTGTCACAAATAATAGTAACAATGTTGTATTCAAAACTAAAGATGACAGACAAATTTTCCTTTAAGTCCAAACAGAAATTTAGCCATACAGGAAGTGTTGTTCTAGTTTCTGATTGGTGAGTTAACACACTGTGTACATTGTATGACTGAGCTGGGAGACATTGCCAGGCACAGTGTTTTTGTACTTTTTTTCGGCGGGAAGAAGTGCGTCTTATACACAGAGATTTACGTTAGTTTAAAGTGGTAATGCTTGGTTTTACACAAACTGTACTTGGTCTAGATTAAACGTCTTGGGCCATGTCAGACCCTATTAACATTGAGAAAATTGGGAACTATGTTTACCTGCCCCCTGCTGGTGTCGAGCCCGAAGTAAAAGCTGATCAAATCATTTTTCATTTTTGTTGTTGAAATTATCTTACTCACCATTAGGTCTGACAGTGAGGACCAGGTCTTTGGTCCTGGCCTCCCCTAAGGCTCGAATGGTAGAGACCAGCTGCTCATTGGTGAATGTGGAGGCATCTTTACCGTTGATCTGAAGGATCTGGTCACCTTCATTTAATCGGGGTATGCACAGGTCGGCCTGTACAGAGGGACAAAGACAAATAAAAAATTATTAAAAATTAGTGTACATTGAGATACTAACAGCAGTGTGAATAAACATGTATAACTTATTTGATCTTGTTTAAACATATTTGTGGCTTACACCCAGTAAATAAGTTCGTTTTAATGATCTGTAATTGAAAAACAAGTCAGAAAAAAATCTTGAAAGAAGCAGGATTTGAATCTGTATCTACTGTTGCAGGGCAGCGACTCTACTACCAGGCCATCACTGGTGTGTGGCACAGCCACGATGAACTAGAAACAAACTTCAAATTTATTTACTGGGTGTAAGCCACAAATATGTTTAAACAATTGACTCTGGTGATCATCATCTGAATATCCATATGATTTTTAAAATTCTTTCTTCTCACTTTAATAATATACGGCTCGCAAAAGTAAACTGGTTGAACACAAAACGGTTTTCTTACATTTTCAGATATATATAATTGTTGAGAAAAGCAAACAAATGTTATGTACATGCCTATTAAACACAATGTTTACAACTGCAGACAGATTGATTCAATTCTATTTACTTCTTTCTTCAGCTCTCTCCCTCTCCCTCTTTCTCTCTCTCTCTCTCTCTCTCTCTCTCTCTCACACACACACACACTCTCACTCTCTCATCTCTCCTGCTTGCTTAACAACCCAACCCCTTTCTTTTCTTTCTTTATATTCTCAAGTCCCTCATTCTCTTTCTCTCTCTCTCTAAATTGTATTTTACTATTCTGCAACCAATCATTATCTTGCATGACAAATTCCCCTACATTTTTCAAAGTATCAAGCCCAAAGGGGCCATTGATAAGTAATGGGGGGGGGGGGGGTATATCATTAATGCAATACATGTATATTAAACTTCTGTTTCTTGAACATTAAGCCACGAGAGGCCAAATATAGGTGCCAATTTGAAGGGGAATGAAACAAATACAACTATCATCATCGCAGATCTCGTGTTTTTCTCTCTCTCGAAAAGGAAAAATGACACATCATGCAATGAGGAAACTCGGAAGCGAGGGAAAGAATTAGTCGGTAATTCCCCTGAGCCCCCCTGATCCTATTTCCTTTCTTTGTTTGGGAAAGCTGGAGCAATTGTTCCGCAGAATGAGAGTCAATAAACAATTTGTCTGAAAGAGGACACCCCCTAAATGATTCATCAAAGCTGGGATGATGTTGTATCAACAAACGTTGGATATCATGAGACTGCTTTGTCTTTGCAATATGCTACATAAATCAATATATCCTTTGTATTGATGCTTGCCAATATTAAAAGCTCTCTTTCCTCCCTCTCCCTCTCTCTCTCTTTCTCTTTCTCTCTGTTTTCATATCAAAGTATACATTTTGTTTACTCTGCTACAAAATGACACTTTCTAGCATATCGCCATTACAGGGGAAATCCACCCTCACATTAATTTGGTTTTTTAGAAAAGCAGAAAAAATATGAAAAACAAATAAGTGAAAGTTTAAGAAAAATTTGATAAATGATAAAAAGGGACTGTGAATTTTGAGAGCTGTTACAGAATATAACTCAAGTTGTTAACTCTGTAATACAATGTAACTAGCAAGCACCTCTTCTCTTTGTTCTGTATAAAGAATTTGTTATATTCATGTTTTCTTGATTGTTGGCTATGGTGTTGTTTTTTTTTTTTTTTTTGGGGGGGGGGGGGGGGGGTCAGGGAGCTAGATTTTTTTAAATGTTCATCTTCATTCACTATAATGACCTGTAATATCTTTGTTGTTGTTGCTATTTTAATGTATTTTTTGTAATTATCATGTTAGCAAATTCAATGATTTTATATGTAACAGAATGTCTCCTTTTTTTTTCTTGATTATTTGGTTCATTGAATGAAAAATAAAGTGCTTTCTAAAACAAACAAAAAATCTATCTAATTATCTATTTATTTGGTGTTATTTCAACAGGGTACCCCCTTCAGTAGTTCAAATACTGTCATACTCATTAAGCTGTAGGCGAGGGACATATGAGACAAACTATTTTTGTCACATTAATGCTTGCTTGTAGAGTAGGATTTACACCACAATAAAGCTGTCAGATGGGACTAAAGCCCAGGAAATTGATCCTGATTGAATAAACCATTCAAACATCAACTGGAAAAGGCTGGATTTTTGCAGTTAATCAGTTTACATACATTTTAGGGGTACTTTCAGGGAGTATTATCATAAAATCATCCAATAAATATTTCAACATACTGTAAAGATAGAAATGTTCACAGCGATGCAGAATTTGAGTTGTGTTTTGTCAATTTTGAATCGCTGATGTTGTGAAATGAAACTTTGGTGAATCTGGGGGGTGTTTCACAAAGATCCCAAGTTGAACTTAAAAATTATGGAAAGCCATTCGCATCTTTGAAAATATTTTGTAAAAGTTATTTCAAAAGGCGTAACATATTGATTCAAATCATTCATTTTTTCTATTATCAAGGATATTTCATGTTCTTGATGTGGAATTTATGAAAAATCTAAAATACTTGATTTTTTGCTTTTGAATATATCTTATTTTAAGGCTACAAATAGCTCTCCATAATGTTTAAGTCCAACTTAAGAGTTAATTTCAACTTAGGATCTTTGTGAAACACCCCCAGAACTACTAGGAGAACATACAAACATTTCATGAATATCAGAGTTTTTGGTTTGACAGAAGTCTAGAAAGAGTTTATTTTTGTGTACTGTATTGAACAGGGAAATAAATCATCATGCATTTTTGCACCACTTTCAAAGAGAGAGGAATCAATGTTGCTCATAATATTTAGAACAGTGATAAGTCATTATCATATATGAATAATTAGGTGAATCAAAATAAAACTGCAAAGTGCACTGCAGTATTCTTGCAATATTCTATGTATACATAAAGGCAAATCGTTACTGATTACTAGATACAAAGATTGCTAACATTTTTGAGATGCGATGTGCCCACAACATTTTCAAAACAGATGGCTACATTAGGGGGTTAAAAACTACAAAGAAGATTTTGACATACCGGTGTGTTTGGTGCAACTCTCGACACGATGATGGGCGCGCCCTGGTCTGCCCCGCCCTTGACGTTGAAACCAAAGCGCCCTCTGTCATCAGGCAGCATGCGTATCGTTACTAAGGCATCACCGTTGGTTTGCTGGAAGATAATCAAAAGATGATTTTTATTTCTTGCTAACATCACAAAAAAAAAACAATCCAACTTCCTTTTTCACCATTGCTCTCAAAACATTTATTCAATTTGGCAGTACTAGATTATGCATTTTTTCCCCACATTGCTTAGAAAAAACCCTTTCAATAATATTTTCAACCCAAATTTTACATGTTCTAACTTACAATACCAGAAGGTGTGTTCAAACTTCAAGAAGCGCTGTCCACTCACTGATTTGTAACTGTTACTGACAACCTCATACCATTTGCCTGCACCTCTGCTGACATCACTACCACCGTTCACACAAAAAGAAATAGTGTTCAACTCACCGATTTGTAACCGTTACTGAGAACCTCGTATGAGTTGCCTGTACCTATACTGACATCGCTACCACCGTTATCATCCATGTATGTCATCTGAGGAGGCACATTGAGCATCTCGGCGCTCTTGGATAAACCATTCTCTCTGTTTAATGGGAGGAAAGTCATAAATGATGGCTGTTTGGTAACAATTGCTTGTCAAAAATCGTTTGTTAGTTGGTGGAGTTTCAGCATGATATTGATTAGGCATTAATGAATCAGGGAGGTGTTTCACAAAGATCCTAAGTCGAACTTATCTCTAAGTTGGACTTAAAAGTTATGGAAAGCCATTAGCATCCTTGAAAATATTTTGTAAAAGTTATTTTAAAAGGCATAAAATGTTGATCCAAATCATTCGTATTTTCTATTATCATGGGAGATTTCATGTTCTTGATGTGGAATTTATGGAAAGTCTAAAATACTTGATTTTTTGCTTTTGAATATATTTTATGTTAAGGCTACAAATGGCTCTCCATAACTTTTAAGTTCAACTTAGAGTTAAGTTCGACTTAGAATCTTTGTGAAACACCCCCCAGGAGTCACCTAGAACGCATTCTCCCGCACGAATTGCTCTGTGATCAATATCCTAAACTAACCAAAATCCCAACCTAAACTCTGGTCAGAAACCCAGAGAAAATGTCACTAAAGCAATACTGCATAGCCCCATATCTTTAAAATGCATTGATGTATGTAAAGTGGGTGGGAGGGGGAGGGGGCTTGCTTGAGCAAATGATGAATAAAGACACGTTCGACTATATTTTCTATTCTTTTTCAATAATATGCAAAATTATGATTTTTGTTCCAGAGATACAAATTTTAATTGGATTGTGGATGAGTGCATGAATTCATTTGCAGAAAATTAGAAATTGATGAATAAAACATGTTGGATAACATTTTAATTTTTTATTCAATAAATGATATGCAAAATGACAATTTTTGTTCCGGAGATATATTTTTAGATTGGGTTGTGGATGAATTAATTTGCAGAGAGGTATATAAGGTATAAGAATCACTACAAAGTTACATAAAGCACATAATTTGTTTTCAGAACCGATACAAAGTAAGACAAAATTAATTGATTGAGTAGAGAGCACATAAAAGAGAAAAGTAGACAAAGATACACCATCTTTGACAGTAACATGAGAGAAAAATAGCACAGGAGCATGTCAAGAAACACAACAAACGGCTCAGAATAAATGACAATATATTAAGGAAGTAATTAGTGAAACATGATCCGCAATTAAGAAAGTCTATACTGTTAACATGTAATGGAATGCAATGAGAACACCACAAAAAAGTCAAGAACAAGTTATACATGTCAGTGCAGCATGTGCTCATTTAAAATACCTTTTACCCACAATGTTGAGTGTGCAAATGCATTTTTTGCTTTTCAAGATTTAAACATGCAAGATAGAGAATGAAACTTGGAACAGTTTACATTGAAAGCATCATTTTTCCAAATGAAAAAAAGGAAGGTTTGTTGGATGTATAGTTGTAAATGCTTTAGCAGATTGTCATCACCAAAACATATATTTTTGAGTAGATTGACTGTTTGCTGACTGATTGGTTGATTAATTGGTTGATTAATTGGTTGATTAATTGGTTGAAAGATATAATGTTTGGTTGATTAATTGGTTGATTAATTGGTTGAAAGATATAATGTTTGATTGCTTGATTGATTGGTTTGTTGATTGATTGATTGACTGTTTAATTGATTGCTTGATTGATGGTTCATAGATATATTGATTGTATATTTGAATGTTTGATTTCATTCATTGATTGTTTGTTTGCTTTCTTGCTTGACTGGTTGCTTATTTCTTTGTATGATATGATTAAATTATGGACAGATCGATTGATTGGTTAATCAATTGTTTGTCTGACTGACTGATTATTTGCTTGCTTGTTTTTGTTTGTTTGTTTGAATGATTGCTTGCTTGTTTGTTTGAATCATTGATTCATTGAATTGTTCATTGTATGGTTGGTTAGTTTATTAATTGCTTGCTTGATTGATTGATTAACTGCTTAATTCTTGGTTTGATTGATTTGCTGATTGATTAACTTACTGATCGATTGACTGACTGACTGACTGCCTGACTGACTGATTTATTGATTGATTGATTGATTGATTGACTGACTGATTGATTAATTGATCGACTGATTGATTGATTGATTGACTAACTGACTGATTCATTGATTTAGTGACTAACTCATTGACTGACTGCCTGACTGATTAACCAACTGATTGATTGACTGATTGATTGATTGATTGATTGATTGATTGACTGACTGATTGATCGACTGACTGATTGATTGATTGACTGATTGATTGATTAACTGATTGATTGACTGATTGATTGATTGACTAACTGATTGATTGACTGACTGATTAATTGATTGACTGACTGATTGACTTTATTGATTACTTGATTGACTGACTGATTGATCGCTTGATTGATTTTGCAATATAATCCGCTAGGGTGAACTTACCTAGGTTTTCCATTGGGTGAAGGCGGAATCTCGCCATCAAAACTTGGCACCCGGCTGAGAGAAAAAGAGGGAGGATCGGGGGAGGTGTCACATGTAAGAAAAGTGCAGCCTTTGCAACAAAATTTTAGGGAATGGGGTTCTGGAACATATAGCCTTGTTTGCTTGTATTTAAAGATGAAGTTGAGTTCTGGTCATGCGATTGCATTATGAAAGAAACGGTGTGCAAGGTTCTGGAATCATCAAAATGATAAGAAATTTGGCCAACTCTTGGTAAAGTTACAAACACTATAAACAGAAAGATGTATATGGGACTACACGAACACGCGACGTCAAAATCCTACCCTGTGGAGTTTTACGATGTTAAATGCATATTTAGAATATGAAGGCATTTGAAGAGCCATGCTTTTCAGGGAAAATGTCTTATCTGATGTTCTTCCACACTTGCATAATAACAATGATAACGCTCACAAATTATTTTTCACCTCTTCCCAGAACTCAACCTTCTCTTTAACCTTACTGTGCCCCTAAAGATTGGAAACATTGAGGTCTTTGGGGGTCTCAAATGAAATCTTTGTTTCATTGTTTAAGAGGTTTTCTAATTTTGTATGTGCAATGGGGGAGACCCCCTCCAAAAAAAAAATTCCTTTCCTTTTTGGCGTGCACCTTGGCACTTGCTCAAGAGAATGTGATTGTTTGTGAGTATAGAAAACAAAACAGTATTGATTTTCTTCATGCAAACAAGGCATTACTCCTGTACATTCCCAGTAAAGTTTTAATCACAAAACAAAGACAGCGAATGCCAAGAAAATCAGAACATTATAATTTTGATGACAGGAAAAAACAAAACGACACTGCATAATTTAATCACAGACACAGAAAGGAATAAGATTTACTTCCACATTCAAAATAATCAGTTATTGGAATTGTTTAAATTGTTGCAGTTTTAGCAGAAAGACGACAGAGAATACAGTACTTTCATAAATGTGACATGCACGTGATGATTTTGCAAGGTAATTGTTCAAAAGCAGCCATCAAATTCAACATCATTTAGAATGCACGATACACATTTAGAAGAGAATGCCAAAACATGCTTTTCTCTCTCTTTCTTGTTGTTTGTTTGCGGACTAGAAAAACTTGTTGTGCTGCAAGGAAATGCTGTGTAATACATTTATTTATTATATTCTTTTCTAGTGCAATAATTAAAAAAAATGCATTCAATTTTGTTTTCGATGGACTTTGAACACATTAGAGAGGAGACATCAGGTCAGAAAAGAAATATTTTACAAAGATTTCAGTGTTTTTTAAAATGTGAGAGGAAAAGTGGGAGGGAGGTACTAAGTCCCATTTGCAGGCCAAAAAAATGAAAAAGTTAAATTCCAACTGCATTTTAAAGATAATACTAATTTAGAACTCCCCTTAAAAAGGTGGGGCTTGAAAATGTCTTCAAGTGGGAAAATAATGACTATTAGTTGTCAAATCGACTTTAGGGCTATAGAGCCCAAAAGTAATAGTCTTGATTTTCATACAATTGTACCGAATGGTCATACGTTTTATGCTGCGCAAAGATTCAATCAGTTTAATCTTGGCCATCACAAGAAGTGGGTTATTGATGTAGACAAATGCTTATGTACCCTTTACAACTCTTTTCATGTATGTTAATACCAAAGAAGAAAATAAGCCAGTCAGTCACTCAATAGTGTCTGACAGTGAAGTCTAGCAAGTAAACGGGTTTCCTTGCATAATTTGAATATGAGGGCACTGCTAACGTTTAAATTTCACAGATAGGACATACATGACATATTCATAATTCCTGCAAAGTTCTACATAATTTGAGGTTGGCTGCAAAAGGGACATAGTACCTTTAAGTCTGAAAATGCTATTGATTCTAGCATTGTTTGATGCAAGCTTGATATCGTACTGACTTTATTTTGAAGGATATTTGAGATAAAATTGTATCCAAATTAGCCCCTTTTCATGAAAATTTAAAGGTCCTAATTCTAACGACGATGTTCATATGACGTAACACTCGAGCAACAGCACCCTGAGAGTGAAACATAAAAATCCAGCTTGCATCACAGCTCGGTGTTAAATTAACTGTTAGTTCCAATTCAAAATGAACTCTGGTGTTAACCCTGGTTTTATTTTCAACACATATTAACTCCAACACCAATACCATGACATCCCAGGACATGCTAACACCTAATACATATATTTAGTGTATTAACACTTTAGTGTTAAAATCCAGTATAATGTCCAACAACCACCAGCACCAATATCAAACAAGCATTACACCAAATTAAAAATAATTCCCCATGAAGATAAAATTTCATATATAGGTTTTCGGTGTTAAATTTGGTGATAGTGTAGGCTGAACTCACTGATATATGTAGTGTATAAACACTTTGGTGTTAAATCCAGTATAATGTCCAACAACCAACAGCACCAATATCAAACAAGCATTACACCAAATTAAAACCAACTCTCCATGAACATAAACTTTCATATATAGGTGTGTATATATATATATATTCGGTGTTAAATTTGGTGTTAGTGTAGGCTGAACTTACTGATTGTCTTTAAGGGGCTTGTACTTTTGAGTGGTTCTTGACGGCAGGCTTCTCGTCTCTGTCCTGATGACCTCTGCTACCGTTCCCCCTACCGTCCGTCTGAACGCCCTTTTGTTGGGAGATGACCTGCAAGGTCAATCAGGGTCAAATCAGGGTCATGGGGTCATAGGTTGAAAGAAATCGCAAGGATTAAAAGGTACAATCTTTTAAGTTTGTAATCGATAGGTTAAGGTTGTAATAGGCAACTCTACAAATTACCTTGTGAGCAGTTCTCTATTAGTTTTGTAGCAACTTTAATTATTATTATTTTTGTTGTCCTCTTTTTGGTTGATGATATACTGCAAAAAGTACATTGTAGGTGTGTAAGAATATGTTCGATAACATACATGAACACAGGGCAGAGGTTAAAGGCAGAGGTAAAGTTGAAATGCATGACTACACCTGAACAAGAAACATGGAAATTCAGGTGAACTTTTAAAAGGAAATGTAATACATTTGTGCAGTTTGTAAGAGTTGCAAGAAAGGATGCGTTCATTTAATAATTGATAAGGTCATGTGCACATGGGAGTATGATTTCTTGTTTTCAAAATAGATCACAAATGTCAAATGGATGAGTTATGACTTTGTGTTGGCCGAACGGTTAGGTTCTGACTGACCCTCCCTCCCTCCCCTCCTACACTTTAAGGTAGAGTTCATACTAATCTAGACGTGTCTCTATACTACATGATACTCATACCTGCTAATTTCCTTTTCTGCTAACCTCTTCTTTGTATCCTCCATTGTTTGACTCTCTGTTCTCCCGCTGTTTAAAAAAAATAAGGGGTGCAAAGAATAACAAAGTAATAACAACAACAGCACTTTAATTTTGTACCTACAGGAATTGTTAATGCTACATGTACATATATATTTGAACCTGTTTTAAAGACCACCTGTATAGAAAGCACCACCTGTCTATAAGGACCACAATTTTTTGTTATCTTGAAATGGTTTCTTGTTGGAACGTGTAGTAAAGAAACCTGTACATAGAGACTACATACCTATAAAGACACTTTTCTTGTTTCCCTCGAGCAGTCTTTATATACAGGTTTCACTGTATTATGTATGCATGTATATGACCTAACATGTTATAAGTGCTTAGCTTATATCCGAAAATTGTTGAGAGCAATACTAACAAAAATACCCATAACAACTAATAAACATCATAAGCAACATAATCACCATCATTATTAAAATCATCATCAACTTCATCATTGTTATCATCATCACCATAATAATCATTATTATCATCACCATAATCATCATCACCATAATAATCATTATCATCATCATCATCATCATCACCATTATCGCCGTCATCATCACCATCATCATAATCATTACCACCACTTTTATTATCACTATCATCACTATCATCATCATCATCATCATCATCATCATCATCATCACCACCACCTCCACCACTATCACCACCATCATCATCAACACAATTATCACCATCATCACCACTATCATGAATATCTCACCTATATCTGAACTTTGATCCAAGCTGAAAGAACGTTCTCCTCTTGGCCGGGGGTTGAGGGTCTACCATCCTGAAGAACGTATGATGTTCTACGCAGGACTTCCATAAGTTTTTACACGCCCTGTAGCTGGTCATGTTGAACCCTATTACCATATCTCTTGTTTCACCCTTTGCAGAAAGAAAGAGAGAGAGAGAGAGAGAGAGAGAGAGAGAGAGCAATTAAATACAAATTAAGATGCAGAACTACATGCTAAAAGGAACCATAGATCACACATTGACCTGTTAATCAACTTATTCATTATTTTGTTCCTTTAAAAACAAATAAAATTCTGTTTTTGCATTCCTTTGAATTTCTATGAAGATTACACATATTAAAATGATCCACAAATGTCACAGCTAACAGTAGCTTTTTTTTATTTATACACCCTGTATCACATTTCATATTATCTCGAATGAATGAAATAGTTCATATCAATAGTAACATACATGTAAATATTGTATTCCCTTAAACAAACTCATAAAATCAAATGTAATTTCTGTTTTTCCTTATACACCCTGTACCATGTCTCATGAAATGAAATGTAGTTTGAATTTATAGTGGCACACAGACAGTATTCTTTCCTTATACACCCTGTGTTATGGCTAATACACATATTATCTCAACTGTATAATATAACTCAAATCAACAGTGACATCCATTTTCTTTCTTTCTTGAACTCAGTGCATGATGACTAATAGTACCTCCAGTGTTTGAAATGATGCATATTCTTACATGTCCTTTGCCATGGCTCATATATTTCAAATGTATGAAACAATTTATATCAATTGTGACACAAATGGAAAGTCGATTAGAAAAGTAATCAATCTTCATGAATGAATAACCCTACTTGACTGCCACTCAAAGACTTAGAAATTATCATAAAAATATCACATGACAATTAAAGGTACGTAAACCTATTGAAAGTCAAAGAAATTTAATCGTATGAATACAAACTATATACTGGTAGAAGAAAGTACCATATATAAGAACTCCCCTCTGAATATAGGAACTGAAAAAGATATCATGAAGAAAACAAACTGACCACAAGATATCAGATGTATGTTTAGGCATATTGCCAAATACCAATTGGCCGTGGGGCGTCAAGAAATTGATTTTGTCCTTGCAGTTGGACTTGAGACTAAATTCATTCACATGAGCAATACATCACAATTAGAGTTTGTTATAGAATCTCAGATTTCAAGATAGAATTGTTACTTCCAGCATCCCATAATCAACATAAATTCTTTTTCATTTTGATACAAATCACTATAGAATATAGGACTGAGGTGGTTTTATGTGCATAGTTGTTATGGTATTAACACAGATCCCTTACCAAATTTGATGCCTTTAAGAATTACAATCATGCATATGTGGAAGAGAAAAATCAGTCTTTATCTTGACCTGAGCTTGTCTGTTCATTTCTATTCAAAATTATGACAATATGTAGTTTTGACAAGAAGTTGCAATGCTACCTGATTAATTGTCAATGGAATCCTAGCTATGATGTATCACTGACTCTGTACATTATATATCCCATATATAGACTCAAACAATCTGTATGGAATATCAACAAAGTTTAGCAGTTTGTTTCATTGTTGCAAATATTTAATTCTATGTTCTGGTACTTTCTTCCTTTGATCTTTAAAGTCATGTCTTTGAAATATTTAGGCCTTTCAAATCTTTGAGCTGGCAACAGATAACCCTTCCAAAAGGACCTGCTTTCCATGTATAAATTGCCCTTTTTTTTCTTCTTTTTTTTACAGGAATGTGTATATTCATTAAAATAATTTTAAGCAAGATACATGATCAAAGAAAGTGGAAGTGGAAAAAGAAAAAAAAATATCTGATCAAAATAGAGAATGAAAATTTCAGCCTATTAGAAATTAATGTCCTTTTGCAAGACATTAATCTACATTTGCCACTCTTCACCCAGGTGTCAATGGGTACCTGATATGCTTGAGCGCTAGTTTCATTGGTAGCTCAGCTAGAGAGGGGGTTATAATGTCTATGTGCTATGAGAGTCACAGCGTGGCGGATATGAAGTTCAACCGGACAACTACCCCTCTACGACAACTACCCCTGCAACAACCAACCTCTAGGAAAACTATCCCCCCCCCCCCCCGGGACAACTATCCTAGGGGGTAGTTGTCTGGGGGGTAGTTATCCTGGAGGGTGGTTATCCTAGGGGGTAGTTGTCTGGATATGGGATAAGAGCACTGTTGAAGAAGCCATTTTAACTTTGTTTTTCTTCATATTTGTGGGTTGGTTGTTGAGAGCGGTTACTTACGATTTCTCTCCTTTGCTGGATGAAGAATTGCTTTCTCTTGAAAGAGATCTTGACAATCTTGGCCCATGAGAACTGATTAATTCTGACACCATTCTGGAAAATGCTCAGACCCGCTGAAACCACTCCAATGGCAATCTCTGAACCGAGTGTGTCCTGAATGGTGCACAAACACAAAATAAAGATAAAGATAATGAGAGCAGTTCTGAGAGTAATCATGAGAACTGATTAATTACAACTCTAATTTCATTTTCAACACCCAGTTTTATCCTGAATGGTGTATAAACAGAACACCTGATGAAATAGCCACGAGCCTGTAAAGTGATGGGAGCTCCAAATATATTGATGGCAAAATTTCACTTAAATTGTATCATAATGTGAAAGATGATGTCATTTAAGACACATTTCTGCAATGATTTTCAAAACAAATGTGTTTGAAGTCGAATATTGATGAAAGAACACACAATTGAGGTTTGCTGAATACAACAGTAAAATGTGTATTCTTACTTCAATATTTGTCTTCAGACGCATTTTTTTTTTTTTTTTGGGGGGGGGGGGGGAATCATTGCAGAAGTGTGTCTTGAATGGCTTCCTCTTTCACATTATGATTCAATTTAAGTGAAATTATGCCATACAATATTTGGCAAATTTGGGGCTCCCAACACTGAAGAGGGGCTTTATTAAAGTGACTGAATCTTTATCAAAAGAAATGGTGGGCTTTGTTACATCATACTTAAAGAGATAAAATGTGTATGACAATACAACAAGCATTATGGAAAGAGAGATTTAATTGTCTTGGCCATCAAAATGGAAAAATCTTGACACAATCCAAGAAGATAATCACCCAATTCAATGCTAAACCTTTAATATGTATTGTGAGGTGAAATTACACACACAAAATACGTAACTACCATTGAAGTTATTTGTGGTTACTTACGACTTGTCTGGATACTTTAATAGGCATGTGAGTGGCTAAAGAGTAAAGTGTGAATCACAAATCCCTTTTCAGATTGTGAAATCCCTAATTGAGATTGTGGTTGAAAATGTAAAGAACCCTTTGAGGAGTGAACGTTATAAAAGACTCTCAAAAGGACCCAAGAGAAACAGGGAGAGAGAGAGAGAGAGAGAGAGAGATAGAGAGAATGGCAGAGGAGAGGGAAAGAGGAAGGTAGAGCCGGTAGAGAGGGTGGGAAGGAAAGAGGGAGGAAGAGGGTGAGGTAGGAGAGGGAGGAGAGGAAGGAGAGAGAGAGAGAGAGATGGAGGAAGACAAGAGAGAAAGTTGGAGACAGGCCGAAAGGGTAATTTTCAACGTTTTATTTTCATACAAAATTGAATGTACAATGCAACCCGATTGATTTAGGCATAGATTGAAACTTCATTTCCTTATTCAATGAAATGATGGATAGAAACCAAAACGGTAACACAAAAGAAACAATTTTTTGTATGGATTTTTTTTTTGTATGACACAATGGATTTCCTCTGGGTTTCCATAAATTGTCACTTTATTTTGTACACTAGAATTGTGGTTCAACTATTCATCTTAGGCACGCCATTACGCGGAAGGTTTTACAAAACATGCTCAATCCCCCCCCCCCCCCCCAATCCCCCGGTCTCTCTCAAAGAAAACATTTGTTGAAATACATTTGTTCCAGACTTATGCTACTTCAAACAAACATGCATGTATCCTTTAGTATATTTCAGTCGTCCCTCTCACAAGCCCCACTCCCTATAGACTAAAAACTCTCAGTTCATGTGTATTCATGTATTTTATTTAACATACTATACCGACTGAATGAAACCCAGCATACACTGTACTCATAACCATGTTGAAAGAGCACTGCTTCTAAATTACAGTTCAATTTCCCTCGTTTCGGTAAATTGGACGCTGACAAGCTAAACGAGCTCGGTCAGTTTTCATTACCCCTTAAGAACCACGAGGGCTCACTTCCTCATTGAATATACAGTGATCCGGCTTTTCCTATAACATACATCTAATATAGTGGGAGGGACTGAAGGAATGAATGTCCATGCATGTACCCCTCTTAGAGGAAAATATGTGATGAATTTAGGGGCGCAATTTAATTCATGTAGAAAGGGAATGGATCTAAGATTCTCTTAAGGGAGGGGGGGGGGCACATCTTTGAAAGCATTCCCCCCCCCCCCCCCTCCCCTCAAAAAAAAGAAGTTTTCACATTTCTCAAGCGGCTTTTAGTGTCTTAAACTGATGCCAGTTGGAGGGGGGGGGGGGGGGAGAGCATAATTTTTTTTGGGGGGAGGGGCATAATTTGGAGGCAAATTTCTTTTGGAGTTTACTTAAGGTGATTGGGGGGTAGCAACACCCCCCCCCCCCCCCCAATTTACATAGAATTTAAATTCATTATTCATCATGTTCAACACAAGTGGAATAAGTCTTGAACAACTATGGAATAAATATGAGATATATATGAAATTAAGTCTGTCTGTGGAATATGGAATAAGTATTGCGAAGTTAGAACAAAGAGCTTGGTCATATAACCCAAGTTTTGAACATCTAGTCGCTGTTGCTCCTTCATATTTTATGAATCAGTATATTGATGATAGGCCTGTGGCTTGTAATAGGATATCCCATGTGCGTTGGTTGGAGAGTATATAAATCATTCATATGCCCCTATCACTATGTTCTCTCATTTACATGGCATAGAATGCACATAATTTTCACAATTGAATTTTTTATTGTACAGCCATAAGCCATCTTGTAACCACAGAAATATGAACAATGACTGGAAGAAGTTCTATAAATCAGTTCCAGATTAACTTGGAACCTGCAGTAGGAAGTCAATACCCATAATCTTAATACACCTCTAAATGTTCTTTTAAAAAACTGCATTATTTGTTACACAGGAAAACCTTGTTCAGAAATTTAAAGCTTTGGGAAAAATAATGATTTTTTGTGTAAATTAATGGCAAATGGAGGTTGAATAAAAAAAAAAATTTAAAAAAGGAAGGTGCTGAGGAAGTTAAGCTTTTAAACGTCTTTTTTTTGTTAGAAAAACATCAAGATATGTGATGCACATAACACTTTTCATTGACATGGCAGTTTTTGAGGCACTTGACCAATTCAAGTATGAATGAGGCTCAACTCCGTTAAAGCTGAAGTCAACCTACATATTTCAGAAATATTCCTTTTATTTTAACTGCACTTCAAATCAGCGCCTACTTCAGTCCATTCAAGTATTCACTCAAATCATAAAACCCAATATGATAAATCCTCTCCAAATATTGCGATAACTGTCAATCAAAATTATTAATGTTTCATTTTCTATATTTTCATAACAGATTTCTCCCCGCTTCACAATAGATGAATATTGTACAGCAGTCCAGGGTTCTGTATTATAAGCACTTAATTGCCTGATCGCTCAATTGATGCAAAGTACAATTGCTAATAAGCAGTCATTTCCAAGAAAAGACAAACGTCATAAAGGAATACATTCACAAGTTTACATATGTTTTGTGTTGCTTCATATTTGCATACAGGTACACTGAAAATAACTAGTTGTATGTACGTAAGAGACTCAGGAAGGTGAGCTTTTAACTCTTTACTTTGCAAACCTTTAGGTTTAAAATTACCAAGTAACAATGATGCGGGCTCATACGCCATCGAAACAACAACCACTTGGAGTTTGAAACTATAAGCCATGCCAATAGTCGTAATTACAAATTTGAGAAGTATCATAGTTAAATGCATCCGCACAGCACATCCCCCCCCCCAATATAGTTTCATTGTTAATCATACGCTTTGTAGGATAACTTGTAATTTTAAAACTTGTCATAAACTTTAACTTTCAGAAACTATGAACGTGTTTTCACAGTCCTTAACTACAAAGCTTTAAAGATCAAAACAATAAGCTGAACTTAAATTTAATAATAATAATAATAACTTTTACTTATATAGCGCTTTTCATAAGACATTCATATCAAAGCGCTTTACAATATTGATACAATTAAAACTAAACAGAGTAATGACAAGAAAACAAATATGAAGTGAAATTATGAAACATAAGATAACAAGGTAAGGTAACAATATAAGAACTAGGTAACAATTTAAGAACTAGGTTGAGTATGCATTTTCCATTAGGTAGGTTTTTAATTTTGATCTAAACAAAGTAATATCTGAGATGCAACGAATGGAGGCTGGGAGAGAATTCCATAAACGTGGAGCAGAGCATGAAAAGGACCTATCACCAAAGTATTTTGTTTTTGCTTTTTTAACGGTCAAGAGAGTTTGATTTGCAGAACGAAGGGGCCTATTGGGTGTGTATAATTGAATCAGTTCAGAAAGATAATTTGGGGCATGACCATGTAGAGACTTGAAGGTTAAAAGAAGGACTTTGAACTGGACACAAAATTGAATGGGGAGCCTATGGCACGCCTTTAGGGAAACAAATAAATATATGCGACACTTTCAAAAAATACATTTCACTCAAAGTATATATTCGACACTTTCAGAAAATGTTTGACAAGTTTTATTTGACAAGAATCTTATTCGACATAAATTTCATTCGACACATTATTCGTCAAAAAATTTATTCGACAAAAATTTTATTCGACACAAATTTCATTCGACACAAATTTCATTCGACAAAAATTTCATTCAACAAAAATTTCATTCGACACAAATTTCACTCGACACAAATTTCATTCGACAAAAATTTTATTCGACAAAAATTTTATTCGACAAAAATTTCATTCGACACAAATTTTATTCGACACAAATTTTATTCAACCAGAATACATGCAAAACTTCACACAACTAAACCTGCACCGTGCACACTCGCGCAACACGCGCGTTTACGATACGAAGACTATAGATCCACGTCGGGGCCTATAGCCTCTGGTCAATGAACAGTGGGTTTGGATTGTTTGAGGGTGATGAGAGATGAGAAGAGGGAGGGCAAAGTCATGTAGCCTGGATGGTTAGGGGCTTTTTTTTGAGGGGGGGGGGGGCGTTAAGGGGGTACAAATTAGTGGCCATTACCTACTTTGTTCATTTTTTCATTTACTATATAGATTGTTTTAGGGTGATACAAATGAAGGTGTGGGCATACTGATGTAGTCACCCCGGGTAAAGAGCTAGTGGATGGGGGGGGGGGGGCGGGGGGGGGGGGGGGGGAGAGGGG